CTTGATGTATTTGTGGGAGAGGGCAAGCTGTGAGTCTCTCCACTCCACCATCTTGGCTCAAACCCTGCAATAGTGTTGAGGTTGCTTACTAGCAAGGAATGGAACAGTAAGTAAAACTGTTTTAAACAGAAGATCCTCATTCTGTGCTAGTGCTACAGTTTATAGTAGACTATGTAAGCCAACTCAGCTCTCTGAGACTGTTTTCCCATTTCTGGAATGATCATTTTGAGCAAGATCAGTAATCACACATGCAAGGCATTTGTGTCTGGCACCTTATGCCCTGAACCTCATCCCCAGGAACCCACTTATGCACCTCCTGATTAATGGGACTGCATGACTCTTCTTACAAAGCATAAATGTAGATTTTGTTCTTGAGAAATTTCTTGACACAGAATTGGCAACCATTGGCAAGATCCCCTCTAGGACAATTTGCTCCCTTGAATTCTCTTCCTGTAAGAAGTTTCCCCACATTTTCTTTGGCCATTATTTATGGAGCACCTGCTGCTTGTCAGGCCATTGGGGAGGTCATCTAAGTCACTGGCTCCCTTCCCTACCATAGTCCCCAATTCACCTGCACTCCTTACCAGGGATAGTCCTATGCTTCATAGGTGGAATCATTGACTTCTTAGGAACACGGCTTGATGCCAAAATTCACTCTATTTACTACACACAGCTACATATTTAAAGCACTGAATGTGTTCATTGCATTCTAAACATCAGAACATAAACCGAAACAAAAACTTAAAAACTGGCCATAGTCTACCTCAAGCTGATGGAAGGGCCTGTGTACTACTCAAATTGTTAGCAAGTTTTTTTTTCTTGTGGGCACCAGCAATTATTTTGTATTGGTAATCTGTGAGAATATATCCCATTTCACTTATGGACAAACTGAAGCCAAGGCAGCCCAGTCATCTAAGTAACAGTGAGTGTCTGGCAGCTCTAAGAGCCAAATCAAGCACCCTTCCAGTCATTACTAATTCTTTTATAAACACAAGTTGCACATTTAACTTGCTGGTTGCCACCACAGGAAGGTCTTAAGACATTTTCCATGGGCTCTGACACTGATATTCAACCTGACTTTCTTGCAGGCATGTCTGTATAGCTCACAAGTGGAGACATTGTCTTCACGTTCCATCAGAGGACTTCAAAATTTTCCACTGTCTCTGCAGAATTAAGACCACCTGAATTTTATAAACTTCTTAGTGTATTGGACATGTGATGAATAAAAAAACACCTTCTGGAGAGAAAACCATTCTGCTCACTCTAACGTGGGCTTCTCTTGCAGCAGTAGCCTTCTGAGAAATATAGATGACTCATTTCCCCTCCTTACACAGGTTATATATGCCTTATTATATATGCAGGATGGGAAAGAAATACTGACTTGAAATGCAGAGTACCAAGGAAATACTACCATATGCCCAAGGTGTGAAATTAATTTGTCATCCCCGCCAAAATTCTAGCCTTACTGCTCCCCCACCTCCAAAATACTCATAGCCAAATCACCAAAACAAATCCAATTACATTAGCAAGGTCTTATAATTT